TAGGGAACCTGCTTTGGCAGGGGGGTTGGACTGGATGATCTCCTGAGGTCCCTTCCAACCCCCACCATTCTGGGATTCTGTGAAATACAGTTATATAGTTTAGGAAGTCAAGCTGCAGATGTCTTGAGCAAGAGCAAAAGGTGTATTAGGTTGATGTGCTTCTGTTCTGCTGAGGGGTGTATGGATTCAGGAAAAATTTCTTCACTGAAAGGGTTCTCAGGCAGTGAAATGGGCTACCTAGGGAAGTGGTTGAGTCACCATATCTAGAGGGATTTAAAAGACAGGTAGACGAGGTGTTCAGAGATGGTTTAGTAGTGGACAGGTACGGTTGGACTCAATGATCTCAAAGGTCTTTTCCAACCAAACGAATCTATGATTCTCTGATTGCTTTTGCTTTTTTTTTTTTTTTTTCCTTTTACAGAGCACAGATCTGAATAGCAGACTGGTAATTACCCACACTCATGTAGACGAACCTTTCATTGCAATGTTTAAATAGAGCTGGCAACCCTTTTTTTTTTTTTTTTTTAAATAAGATGCATCTGAAGGTGATGTTCAGGGTAGATTAAGTTGTCTGTGCTGTTGTCTGTATTACATTGTCCTTGTCACTAGATTCTCTTTTTTGCCTGAGTTTGTATTGTGACTGAATTTGTATTTGTCTAAGCAAAGGAATCAAGCATCCAGCTACTTCTGTTTTGTAGACATCGTGCTTTTCTGGATGTAGTACCAGATTAAAATGAAGTGAATGTTGTTATCACCGAGCTATCTTAAATGAGTATCACATTGATTTGGATGCACACGCTGCAAATCCCTACTCAAATAGCTGTGTCTTGAGTGACTGTGCCTATCTGAACTGAGCTAGGATGTCCAAGGACAGAGCACCTCCTTCCTGCAGCAACCTTGTGAGCTACTCTGAGACACTTTCCCCTTGATTTATAGGGGCATATGGCTATGAGAAACCGTTGCTGAAGTGCAGTGCTTTGAAAAGTGTCTGTAAAAAGAACAAAGAAGCAAAAAGGGATGAGATGGTGCTGAGCTGCCATGGCAGTGTGCTTATGTATTCTGACAGCAGAAAAAGTGTGCCTAGTTTTAATTTTGTCAAAGTCTCAACATTAAATCACTCAGGTTAGGCCAACTTTCCTAAGTATGGCAAGTTTATTCATCACTTTCAAAGTATTTAAGCTTTGTCTTCTTTTCTTTTCCATGTTGCTAATCATTTATTATCCATTTCAGAGGAAGGGAAAATACCAATTCTTTCTAAAATCAATTTTATAGGAAATCTGTAGTAGTATTTGTTTTTGTTGGTTTTGTCTTCATCTCCAACAATTTTATTGTTTATTTTCCTGTATTCCTTAAAACATTCTGCATATTTCACAGTAGTCAATTAAGATTTTAAGTGCTTTTCTGTTTCTTAATCAAATGGTTCTTTAAAAAAAAATTAAAATTCTTCTATTTCTTCTTATCTAGCAACTTACAAGCTTACACTGTCTCCTGTTAGCAGCAGACAGATGGAGAAAAGGCTTTCCAAGAAAAAGTAACCATTTCTCATTCTGATAGTGCATCTGTATCTGCCCCAGCCTGTCATCACCCATCAGAGCATCCCAATGCCCTGCTACAACTCATGCTCTTAAGTGCCCTTCCCTTCAAATCCTACATGAAGCACAAGGTAGAATACCAGATATCTAGTACTGGTAACTGTCATTACCAAAGACTGACAGATCTGAAACTGCCAAAAAGCTTTTCAGTTTAGCAGCTCAAATTAATTGTGACAGTTGCTTCATCAAGCAAAATATCGCTGTTTTCAGCTGCTGCATGAAACTGAAGTAAGACAAACAGGATCAACTCAAGGCAACCTAGTGGATAAGTAAGAGTGGCTTCTTTCCAAATTACGTCCATAACCTCAATTCAAGGTTGTCAGAAATAGCTGCTTTTTACAAGGGACATAGAAAACACTGTATGGGAAGAAAATCTTTTCTTCTGAAGTTAACAGTTTTACTCCCTCAAAGCTTGAAGAAGTAAATTAACTTGAGAATAGTTTGGGTCTAGTTTATATAGATATTACTTAAAGTATTGCTTCAGCACTCTCTTGGAACCACATCCATCAGGTCATCAAGAGAAAGCACTTTAAAAATCATTGCTACATTCATAATATCATCCAGATGCTCAGTACTGCAGTATGGTGTTGAAGTATCTGAAACCATTCCCTGTTTCTATAGCTTCACAGCTGCCTCCTCTGCTTCTCCCTTCTCAGAGGTGTATTTAAGCATGAGCTACTTTCCTGCTGCCTCTGGGCTTTGAGCGGTGGATAGCTAAGGCACAAGTAGACTCGTAAGACAACTCTTTTCCCCTCTATTGGCTGTTGAGAGAGCAATGAATGGACTATTATTTTGCTATAAAAATTACTTTCAGGTGTAATAATTAAAAGAAAAAAAAAA